GCACTGTCAGGTCAGCCACTTGTTCCACAGAATCGTGGAATCACTGATGTTGGAAAAGCCTCCAGGACCATCGAGTCCAGGCTGTGCCTGATTCCCACCAGAGCCCTGAGTGCCACCTTCAGCCCTTGGACACCTCCAGGGATGGGGACTCCAAACCTCCTTGGGCAGCCCCTTCCAATACCTGAGCACCCTTTCCATGGAAAAATTCCAAGACAAACCTTCTCTGGTGCAACTTGAGGCCGTTTCCCCTTGTCCTGTCCTTGTTCCCTGGGAGCAGAGCCAGGCCCCACCTGGGCTGCACTCTCCTGTCAGGGAGTTGTGGAGGGGCAGAAGGTTCCCCCTGAACCTCCTTTTCTCCAGGCTGAGCCCCTACAGCTGCCTCAGAAGTTCTCCAGACCCTCCTCCTGCTGCTCCAGCCTTTCCCAGGCTCCACTGTCCTCCTCCAGATACACCTGGAGGTCTCTGACCTCTCTAAGTCTTTACCAAACACCAACAGGCACTTCCAAAATCCATCCTTAAAAAAAGATTCCGACCAGTGCAGGAGTCGAATCCACCCGTCCCATACTTTTGTTTCTTGCCAACATCCCCCTCCCTGCCAGGGCTGCCACAAACACAGAGAACACCAACACTTCCCACTGTTTATTCCCTTGGGCAATGAATCCACTGCGAGTTCTGCTCCTGCAGCCATGGTGAGAGGCTCAGGATCATCTCAACAGGCATTAAAGCATTTTAACATGGATTTCAACCTCTGCTGGAGCCTTTGGATCCAGCCAGAAGTGGTTCTTTGGGAAGAATTTAAGGCAAGAAAAGCACCTTGGCACAGGAATGCAGGGGAAGCACCAGCAGCCCTGAATAGTGGCAAGATTGATTTATTCAGTTTCTCTTTAGCCAAAAAAAAAAAACAACCCAAACATTTTGAGAAGTCTTCAAGGTGCCAAGCTGTGTTCCCTGCCTCTGGCTGCACCTCCTGCTCCAAATTACTTGGGAACAACTCACTGAGGGACCCCAACCTGCTGCACTGGAGTGCCTGAGGTGGGAGAAGAGCTCCCAAAGCTGCTCTGAAAGTTTGGACACTGATCTCTCTGTGGTGCCCCTGGGACAGCCACCTCCCCCTTGAAAACAATTAAAACCCAATCAATTTATTCAAATGAGCGCTGATCTGGCTTTAATTAATATTAAACGAGATAATGAGGTGCAGTGAACTGCGCTGGGGCTGGGAGCAGCGGTTTAGGCACCTCCAAGGGGTGATTTAGGCACCTTCCCCCTCCAAAGCAGGTTTTGGAACAGCAGCACTGCCACCACCTTAAATTTAGCAACACAAATGGCAGCACTGCTAAAAAGGGAACTCGATTCCGAGGGGGGATCCGGTGTCACAGCTGGAAGGAGGGGCTGGCCCTGGATATTCTCCACTGCTCCCAGGCAGCAGGGGCTGCTCCTGCCTCGGGAATTCATCCCTCAGCACAGCAGTTTCCTCCCTCTAACCAGGGAATCCTGCAATGGTTTGGGCTGGGAGGGATTTTAAAGCTCATCCAGTTCCACCAGGCCAGCTCCAAGGTCCATCCAAGCCAGTTCTGTTTCTCTTTCAACAATGTTTTATTCTATGGCATTTCTAAGTCAGCGTTTCTGATCTCAAGGTTTGTACACAGATGCACACTGTGTGAGCTTTCTGTTAGGTTTGAGGAATTCTCTACAAATTCATTTCTCCACACTCGGGAATTCATAAAAAAAAAAATAAAATAAAATAAACCAGCAGTTTCCTCCCCATCCAGGCCAGCCCCTCTAAGCAGGGAATCCTGCAATGGTTTGGGCTGGGAGGGATCTTAAAGCTCATCCAGTTCCACCAGCCCAGCTCCAAAGTCCATCCAACCCAGCCCTGGACACTTCCAGGGATCTGCAATTCCTTCCAACCCCTCTTCCAGTGACAGCACCAGGAGCAAACAATTCCTGTAAGCCTCAGCAGAATCCCAAGTATCCTTAGCCCACAGCTTCCCAGGGATTGCAGCACTGTGGAATGCCCACTCTGCACCTGGTTTGCTGCACGTTGGCCAAAAATCCACCTTGTTCTTCCCTTTTTGTCACCACTGCAGAATCACCAAAGGATTCCAGGAGCAGAGAGCCCGAGGGGCTGCTCCTCCCTTGGGTGTGGGATTTCGGCTTTTTTTGTTTCAGAGATGGGGTAATTGAGAGGTGCTTTAAAAACATTTATTCTGTTTTCAGTCTCATGTGAAGGCTGAGACAACACAGATGTTTAAATTTACCCTGTTATAATTAGAAGTCAACTTTTTTTAAATTACAATATATTCTAAGTGGTTTTTGGTCTATCCACCTTGTTCTTCCCTTTTTGTCACCACTGCAGAATCACCAAAGTATTCCCGGAGCTCTGGAAAAGCTCCTGTGCCCCTGAGCTGATCCACGCTGGCGTTAAGAGGATCCCTACAGCCACAGGTCAGTGGGATTAGGCAGAGGAAAATCAGCTCCAAGGATGAGGAACCACCACAGGGAGATCTTGGAAGAGGGGAGGGAGGTGGAGCCCACGTCAGGTTTGAGCCAGGAGACCGAACTGGGAGCCAGGAATTTTAAATTCCCCAGGAATGAGCACCGAGGATTCTGGTGATGTTCCTCCCCGCAGCCCACCAGCTCCAGCAGAAGCTCAGAAGCACAAACTTCTACCAGCACACTTCAAACAGACCCGAGGACGCTTTAATTAGCACTTTAATTAACTATGACACCTCCTGCCAGGGGACACAAACAACTGCGACCCTCAGCCCAAATTCCTGCAGGTACCAAAACCAGAATCCCTGGGAGGATTTAAAGTTCCACGGCTGGAAACACCAAAAAAAAAAACCCCAAAAAACCCCCACTTTTCCATGCATCCCATCAGCACAGACCCTCTGGACCCCACCAAACCAGCACCTTCCCACCTGTTGGGAGACCCCAGGACTGGGAATCATTCCCAGGAAAAGCATTTCCAAGCAAACACCTTGTCCGTGAGGACACCAGAACGTCGCACGGCGCCTCCCGGTCCCCGCAGGGCCCCGGGCTCCTCTCCCACCTGTGGCTCTCCGCGGGCACTGCCGGTGGCATCCCCCGGTGCCGGCAGCTCCAGCTCCACGTGCTCCGCCAACGTGCCCGGGGAAGCGGCTCCGCGGAGCCCGGAGACCCCGCCGGGAGCAGCAGCGAGCGGGCACCGAGAGGGGCAGGACGGGCACCGGAACCCCGAGAGGGGAGATCAGGAACCGACCCCCGAGAAGGGCAGCGCAGGAACCGGACCGCGCAGCGAGCGACCCCGAGAGGGGCAGCCCCGGGCCGGGAGCCCCCGGCGGGAGCGGCCCCGGGCCGGGAGCCCCCGCGGGGCACGGAGCGGGCACACCGCGGGCGGGTCCCGGCGGCGGCCGCCGTGCCCGGTGCAGCGCGATCGCCCCGCTGCCCCCAGCCCCGCTCCCCACCCCCCCCGCACTTACCGGGCCGCGCCGGGCCGGGCCCTGCGCCGCGGGGCCGCCGCCGCCACCCCGGGCCGGGCCGGGCCTGGGCCAGCGCAGGCCACCCGGGCGGGGCGGCGGGGAGGGCAGGACGGGGAGGGGGGAGGGGAGGGCGGCCGGAACGGGGAGAAACGGGGAAAGAAACGGGGAAAAAAAAAAAAAGGGAAAGAGGAGGCGGCCCCTCCCCCGCGGCGTGCGCGCTGCGTCACCGCGCCCCGCGCGCGGCGTCATCATCGTGCGCGCCCGCGTTGCTGCGGCAACCGGGGCGACGCTCCGCGCCGGGCGTGGCGGGAGGGGCGCGGGCGCCCCCTGGCGCGGCGGAGGGAGCGGCGCCGCCCCGCAGGGAAAGGGGCGGGGAGGTGGGCGGGGCTATAGACAGGCTCCGCCCACCAGCCGTGACCACGCCCCGCGCGCGCGGGAGCCCGGCTCGGCCCCCTCGGGGGTCTCGCATCCCCCGGGATCCCAAATTCACCAGGGGTCCCACAGCTCCCCGGGGGTCCCGCATCCCCCGGGATCTCAAATTCACCAGGGGTCCCACAGCTCCCCGGGGGTC